TTGGTCTCCATGTAGTGTGGTCACCACACTAGTGTCAGCTCCTGCTTGTATGATCCATCTGCAGGTAGAGAGCAGCAATACCCCTGCCCCCAATGACAGCTGTCATTGTCACACACAGCCATCCATCCACATCTGTATCCCCGACAGGTGCTCCGCCATCTCCTCCTCCACCAGTCAGTCAGTGGGAGAGCAAAGAATCACTCGGGTTAAGCGTGTCGCCGAAATCAAAATAAGGCGGTAAACAAGCACATACGCAGGACCTTCATTTTGAGATAAAGAAATAAGAGGCAAATTAATTTGGGTTATATTAATTGAATGATTTCGTCATCAAATACTGAATCCACACTACACAAACTGTAACTCTTTTGTACCTCAGCCCATACAGCTGCTAAATAATATCATCCAAGAGGCTATTTCATCCAAGAGGGTATTTCTCATCTGTAGTCACCTGGTCACGCTGTTAAACTCAGCATCATAAAACACAAAATGATGCATTTCATGACTCTTAGATTTGCAGATAAAATGTCAATGTAAGTCATCAGTGTAAACAACTCTTTCTGAACACATTCTAATCTTTGAAAGAGATGTGCGGTTGAACATTTAGAGATGGAGGAGTGAATGAGAGAACATTGAGGACCTGAGGAATTTATTTTGATTGCTATTGTACATTGTTCTTTTCTTCAACAAAAAAATGCATTTAACTGAACCATATTTCAACATCACTGTGTTTGGCCCTGGCACTCTGATTGTCCCTTGCTGTGCAAATGATAAACGCAGCATGAATAGAAGCGGCTTTTAGCATGGCAACATGGAATGCCCAATGTTGTGAGATCAACAAGCACCAAACTCATAAGAAACTACAAAAAAATAATAAGACGATAATGAGATGTGCTTTTTTTCAATAGTAATTATTGTTTTCTGATTACAAGTATGTTATAGTTAGTGTGTAATAGTTATTTTTGTTTATTCTTATGTTGACTTTTCTTGTATTTTGAACTAGTGTCTCAAAACAAGACATTCTGTATATTAGTCTATCACCACTTTAACAGAAAAGGCCTAGAACACCAACATGTTCCAAGTTTTATCTAACATTTGGTAATGTAATGTCTATAGAGAAAAGTTTGAATTCTCACTAGAGCAATGACCTTTTCTATAGTGAGCACATTTTGAGGTTAATTAGTTCATTGTACCAGGCAAGAATACAGTAACCTTGTACATAATGTCACGGGGTTTACAATGCGCGTGTGAGGTTGTTTTTTCTGCATCTGAAGAGTGGAGTTTGACATTGGGTGTCCAATTACACGTGTATAAGTTTTTATATACATACAGTATATAACTTTTTCAAATCAAAGCTCATATACCTCAAAGAGTAAAATGTACAACATTAACATCCTGTACAGGAAAAGGTCTAACAACAACACATGATTTAAAATGACTTCAAGTGTTGTTCAAGTGGTCCTTCACTCTTCTCCATTCCACCTGGCTCAAAGTGGCAGAATCAGATGCAGCTTGTTTGTTTATTTCTGTGTGGCCTGTGCCACTGCTGGTGTCCAGCGCAGTGTGAGCTCTGTGCCTCAGTCTGCTGCTTCAGAACAGAAGACTGGGGAGCCGACATTAGGCCCAGACAAGGGCACTGACCCCGGAGAGCAGCCCTCACTAATGTCTCCGGGACACGCAGGCCACTGCCGCCTGCCAGACAACCAGCAGGCTGAAATACTTGACAAGCCGCTTGTGCTTTTGATACATTTAAATAGGCTATGGCAGAAATATCTCAACTTTAAGGCACCATCATTATTCATCATTATTTTATCAATCAATGTACTCTTTGTGAAACTGTGGCCCTCTATGATGGTCTATGATGGTACGGTTTACTCCAAGTATGAGTCGGAACAATCTCCGATCAAAATCCAATCTCCAATCAATTCTGCCTAAATGTTCTTTGGTAAATATAAAGAGTAAAGCTATTGTTTGGGTTTTAACAATTCTCTTATACAATGTCACTGAAAATTTGATTTAGGGACCTATAATAAAGCAAGAAAGTGCTGGCAGAAAACATGTAAACTCCCAATCAACTTGTTTACACATTTTTGAACTGTATTTTATCTTTGAGTTTGGAGTTAAAACTGTTTCCTGATTTATCCCAGAATGTTTAATTTCTTCACATAATAGCTAGTACAGTACAAGCTTCTATCTCTATTTACACTTTACAGTGATGTTACATGAATACACAAACACCTCTGTATTCATGCACAGTGTGACGCTGCAGACATTTTAGTTTGAGTTTGTTCTACAGTGCTCAACAGTTAGCTCCAGCAATTTGGCAAATATGGAACATCTGGTCATTTCAACCCGATCTGTGAAAACCCACTTAGAGATGATTAAAACAAATGAGGTGACGTAACCATTTCATAAGCAGTTTTAGAAGTCAGAAATGGAAATACTTCACTGGGGAGGTTTGTCTCTGTGTCTGTCTGATCAATCAGGCCTGTTGAATAGGGTGAAAATGTCAGAGCATTTCTAAAGTCAGAATCAAGTTCCGGCCTAAAAGAGAGTGTATTGTTTTCAGCTTATCTGGTTTCTAAAATGTATTGTCTGGCATCATTCTCTGGTGCCATTGTGGTAAACGGTAAATGAATTAAACTCATCCAATATGCATTCCATTGTTAATGACAGGAAAAAAGAAAAGGGATTAGGTTGCAATTATCAGAATTAAACTCAATCTGCCAAACACATACTCAAAAATGACAATTTGAAATGACATCAAGCGCAATAGTTACATAGAGTAAATCTTTAAATACACAAGCATTATAGTTAAATTAAAACACATGCTTTCGCCATCTGTTCATGCTAATGGATTGTTACACATTTGGGTCAATAGTTTGCCACGTACATTTTGTGCCAGTTGGGGTGTCAATCTCCATGGCCAAGATTTGGATTAATTATTAATCACAATACCCATCAAAGCTTTATCTCATTCAGGCATTTCCATTTCCCTTTACAACCCTCTAAATATGTTTGTACAAGATTCACCAAGAGATAGCTGTTTGAACATCACGGTACTCCCTTCTCATCAACCTGCACCATATATAGAGGTTTGTATTCATATCATGGGTTGAAATATTGATGAGAAAAAAGTCTTCTCAAATAGCTCATCACAAATCTGGCGCACATATTGACTTTTAGAGGAACCTGTGGGAGGACAAAAGCCGGAGACTTTTAAGCCAAGACTATCAACTGGGGAGGAATTGAGGCAGAGAGAAAGATGGATGTTCTACAGAAATATATATCTGCCTGTGTGCGTTTCTGAGTAAAGAGCTCCATGAAAGAAAACCTGCACACTCGCCGTGTAACCTCCAACCTGCTGCTGGCTCAAGTTTGACATCACATTCTCAGAATCCATTTAAGGACCTTCATATTTGATAATGCTCTCTCTGATTGCATTTCACTGAGAGGGAAGTTTTGTATACAAAGGAGCCTATTCAAGGTTCAATCAAACGTGAAGTTAGAACAACGTGAAGTTAGAACAAGGACCTTGCTGACTAAAAGGGCACATGTTGAATGTTTGAATGCATTTAATAAATGCCAAGGACATTGGGATGAGGACAGTCCCATGTGCATTGGAGGACAATACCTGCTATTCCTAACGCTGCAGGCAATGCTGCTCATACCATCCTCATGTTTTATTCATACAAGTCATATTATGGCATTCAGAACGTGAGATCAAAATCCACTGTGGCAGAAATATTTCATATAATACCTACGACTCGAAACCCTCACCATCTGGTTAGACCGAATGAGAAAGCGGCTAGACAGACTCTTTCAGCTCACCAATGTTGGATTATTAAAAGTGAAGCTTTCAAAGAGGTCACTGCTCTGAGGGAAAAAATGTAGCATGCATCAATTATCCCGGAGAGTTTGTGACACACTGAGGACTGTCTTGTCACATATCCCCAACGTGGCTGAGCTCCACAGAGCCGGGCTGCACTGACATTTAGAAACTGGTGGATTGTGAAAACCCACCAGATTGTTAAAAAAAAAGTCTGACTGTTTGGTTTTTCAGGCCCGAATTCTTCCCCATGTTATTGAGATTACCTAGATTGTCATAATTTGTGTTTATGGCTAAACAACAACAGCTTACACTAATCAATATGAGTTTACTGCCATAAAAATGATGGAATTAAAAATTTTCGCCACAATAAATATAGCACATTTACCCCAAGTGTTTTCAGGCTGTGGCTGATATGTTTATCTTCCATTGATCTTACTAAATACAAATATGAGGAACTGCAGCGCTTTACAAAAGTAGTCATGGTCCATACACTATCACCATCACAATAATCTTTGGTGACAAACCAACACAAAATGGCGCAAAATGAAGACTCCTCATCACCCTCAGTGCACTATCCCCAGTATCTAATATAGGGTGGCAGCATCATGTTGTGGAGCTACTTTTATTCAGCAGCAATAGGTAAGTGTGTCTGAGTTGATGGAAAGGGGAATGAAGCAAAACACAAGGCAATTAAAAAAAAAAAAAAAAGCGGTTAGCTTTAAGTTCAGGGACTCAATTTTACGCAAAAGAATAGCTTAAAGCAAAATGTATCATATATAAGAATGACAAACATTCCAGATCTGAATTCAATTGACAATCTTTGGAAAACTCTAAAAACGAATCTAATCTGGATATGTTTTTCAAAGAAGAATGGGGAAACACATATGTAGACATACCCATCTAGATTTGAAGCTGTACATTCAGTAAAAGATGGCTCCATATTGTATTAAATTTTGTAATTTATAATTGTAATTTAAATGTGATCAATTGTGTGTCACAATGAATGCAGACAACAGCTTTTTGTTATTTTCCGACTGCTCTGGGACTAACTGGAAGATTCCCACTAAGAAAAAGGCGACCCCCCTTCTCCATATTATCCCAGTGCATCTTGGTTCCGAATGGTGTGAAGTCATATTGTGGTTCTTATCTGGCTCCCATTTGTGCGGCGTACCTTTGTTCATGTCAATCAGCTGCTTCTTCTTCTGCTGCCGCTCGTGCTTCTCACGCTCAGCCTTCTCCTTCGCCAGCTTGGCTCTCTTGATCTTTTCCTCCATCTCCCTCTTCTTATGGTTCTCCTTCATGGCGTCCTGATGGGACACACACACACACACAAACAAGCAGAAAAAAAATATTAAAACCAGCCTCCAAATCTCGCCACAATCAGTCTTTTTGCTTTTAAGATTCACATTCATAAAAGATGTTTGATATTTGGAGGTGATATTCGGAGGTAAGATGGTGGGGTAAACAATGCATCATGGTGCGGTGTGCATGTCTGAAGTTAAAAACTCCATGTCTGGGTGAGGTTTTATACGTTTTCAAAATCAGATTTGGTGTTGATAATACATTATTGCGAAAAAAATTTTGCAGTACATACAGGAATGTATGGAACACAAGCCTTATTATGAGAGTTTTTTGTAATAGATTAACACAACCCAGCAACAACAACGTGTAAGACATGGGACGGAAAAAGTATTTACACTATTTCATTTGGTAAGTATTAATCGAAGTTTGAAGATGAATAACTAAATCCTATTATAGACTAGTGTCAAGTCCAGTCCAAGATAAACAATCCCAAATGTAAAAAAACACACTTATCCCACTAGAAATTGAAACAGTGCAGACCAAAAGCACAATTCATTTTCAAGCAACATAATTCACTCACATCTACAAAGAAATAACTGAGCTTTTAGATGCATTTTGTACAAACACAAAGCCACCATCCATCGAAAAACCTTGTGTCTGTGGCTTCAATGAGTTTGAAAATTATTACTATTGTACTGTGTAGTTGGCCAAACGATATTGAATAAAGAAATACTTCAAATGCAATGCAATAAAAATGACTTTGTTTTAAGTTTGGCAAAATAAAAATAGAGTTATATCTAATTATGAAATCTCAATAATGGGACCCAGGTTTAACAGGCAAGCTGCAACTGTAGATTCTCATTGGAAATTACACTCCACGTTTTGACGACATATGGAACGATGGGACAGCATGGTTTCTTTGGCTTTGGTGTCTATTTTTTTTTAACCTGAGGACAAATATCTGTCACAATTAGACTAGGAAGCCATTTTACCCCATCTGTTCCATAGTCTCTTAAATCAATCCCACACAGCAGGGTCAGTGAAGCACATACTATTTGTTTGCAGGAGTGAATTTGTTAGCACCTTTTTATGTCACTAGCAGTCAGCAGAGGTGTGGACTCGAGTCATGTGACTTGGACTCGAGTCAGACTCGAGTCATGATTTTGATGACTTTAGACTCGACTTGACCAAATATAAAAAGACTTGCAACTCGACTTGGACTTTAACATCAATGACTCTGACTTTCACTTGGACTTGCGCCAATTGACTTGTAAAGACTTGCGTAACCCGGGCCATTTTTACCTTTCTCCGCATCTCTCTTTCTATCTATGCCGTCTCTGAAGAAACAAAGCCTCGCGGTAGTTGTAGCGCTCGCGAGAGAGTTCGAACGTGAGTTCCCCGCAGTTCGCGCAGCAACACTTCCCTAAACAAGCGGACTGCATTCACCGGTGGGTGTGTTGTCTAGGGGAGCTGGAAATGAGCGAGCTGCAGGTATTTATCGCGACCTAACGTCATATTTTGTTCTACAAACCGTAATTGATATGCTTTCACTACAGGCGCCTCATACAATTGAATCGACGCAGTTGTCACACTGTGTGCCGTGTTTTAAAGAGGAACTGGTGAGTCAAACTAGCGCTAGCCTGCGCTGCTCTGTTGGCTCTTTCTTATATTTTTCTGTGTGGGCGCCGAGGCCTATTATTATGAGTATGTTTTTGCTGTGCTCCTCCTGCTAAAGTTTGCATACATTAGATAGTTGTTTTGATTATGTGCACTAAGCTAGATTAATATTTGCACTATTGTTTATGGTTCATTGATATGAGAATCAGTGCTTTGACTGATTGAATTAATTTATATGAGACATTTTATTATGTAATGATATATTGGTAATTATGAGATATTGCTAATGCTGGTCCAGTTGATGGCGAGCTGCCCCAGGTCCAAAGCCTAGACCCCTCATACTACCCCTATTCTACAGTAGGACATTTGGAACAATAACCACTACGGACATTAAACTGATTATATAGATACAGGTCCTAGCCCAATACTCATATTCATATATGCTGCACTTGCTACTTCCCATTAAAAACCCCAAAGATAAAAAGTATGTTGACACGGACTGCTCTGATTTTATGTGTGGTCTGTGCATGTGTAACTGAGCCTGCATCTGGCACAACATCCAATTAGATCACGTAGATAGTTTTGATTTATCAGCAGCCAACGACATGGAACAAACTGTTAGTCCATGGGTCAGAGACCAACGAGAATGCACCGCAAAATGATTCCTAACATTATTTTGTTTGCCTACAAAAGTACGTGGAGACCAACAAGAAACAAATCGCGGTCAAAAAGACTCGAGAGGACTCGAAAGTCAAACCGTAGGACTTGGGACTGACTTGAGATTTGTTGGCCTTTGACTTGGACTCGACTCGGGACTTGCCTGTCTTGACTCGTGACTTGACTCGGGACTTGAGGGCAATGAATTGAGACTGACTTGTGACTTGCTAAACAATGACTTTGTCCCACCTCTGGCAGTCAGGTTGCGAGTAGAGCTGCATACTGATTTAACAGCTCAGCATGTGAATACGCATTTTTCAGCTGTTAGAAACAAAAACAAAAACACTGTATGTATTAGTTTTAAGACATGCATTGTGTCACTGTGAGAGGCAGAAGACGTGGTGTTATCATCCTCCTCTTCCTCTGCTAAAATGTCAGGATGACGCCGGGAGAAAGCGAGATAATGGACACTGGTTTGTCCCCTTGCCAACTGGGACTTTATTGCAACCAGGTGACCTTTGGAGACAACAAAATGTCTGTCGCCTTTTTCCAATGACAGGGACCCAAGACACAAAGGCTATGTGAGTGTGTCATAAAGAGGTTGTAGCACAATTCATGTTTTTGTAAAAGATTTTTTTTAAAAGCTCAATAGGAAACCATGGATATGTAAACAAAATGTATAAAAGCTGCAAGAGAAAATAAAAACTGTCACTCCTTCACAAGCTCGCCTTCCACGCGCCCTTCCCGGACTCCCGACCGCTGTGGTGACACCACAGCCCACACCACCTCTAATCTGACCTCCCTCTTTCATATGAGTGCCATTTATTAACATTAGACAGCATCAGACATATACATACATGAATATATGTACTAAATAATATATATGTCATTTTTCATCATGTATTTTTAATAAAGTGAGAGTTGAATATTAAAAACATTATCTGAATCTAGTAATCTAAAATGATTAATTAAATTCATGCATGATGTGTATTAAATTAAATCCATTATGTGTATCAAATTAAATCCATTATGTGTATTGAATTAAATCCATGAGGTGTATTGTAGGAATTGGCTTATGGCTTGATTTGGCCATGATTTGGCTAGTTCGTAAAGACACATAAAAATTAGATGGTGCATGCACTCTGCCCTCAAATGGTTTTGATTTTGGATTACTCAAAATCACTCAAAATCCAGGGGTTACTCACGCACCTATGATATTCCATCAGTCTCATATGGATGAGTGCCTGTGTAAGAGCATAATGTAGCTGTCTAAAAATGAATTGATAAGATCTCCATCTTAATTTACATCCATTTTCTGTAATTTCTTCCGTTTCAGCCACTGTTGGACAGCAGTTGCAGCAGACTGAGCAGAGACACAGAGAATTCCCTATCCATGCACAATCTCTCGGGTGTATCCTGAGGTCTTTCTTCATCTCCCGGTGGGACATGCCAGTAACATGATATTAATACAGTACAACTATCATTGAATTAATAAGATTTGTGGAACAAATTATATTTATTCCTCCAGACCTATAGGCCTCAACATTCGCTAGAATTGTTAAGCAAATAATAAAAGAACCATAACTGTCAATGTTTGTTGAACGTATAATTTCATATTGACTTAATATGATATATCATTGCTTTATTTCTAAGGTCATAGATTTCTCATGTCAAGGATAGTTTTCACTATGTATCCTCACTTTTTGTCTGCATCATGGCTGTCTGGCAAAGGCTGATATAATTTAAGTGGTGACAGGATAGGTCTTCTGCACAATGCCCCTGCGGTCGGGACGTGTGTGTCGTGTTGGCAGCTAAGACATAGGGATTATTGGGGATTGTGCAGAAGAAAAAGGCAAGAGCAGCTCATCATGCCAGTCAATAGAAGAGCTTTGCCTCATGTGCAAGGACACTGGGCCTGGTTGTCATCGTCCCCTTGATGCTTGACAAGGGCAATGAGCAACACATAAAGCCAAAGGATGGTTGATACAGGTTATGTGACCATATAGCTGTATGAACAAACTGGAATAGGGGTTGAACAGTCAGCTGAGAAGTATGCTAAAAGAGAAAAAAACAATGCTCTTATTGACATCAACAGTTTTGTGAGGTCCTTCAAGGTGACCACTGTAATGATTTTGGACTGTCTAAAAATGAATTGATAAGATCTCCATCTTAATTCACATCCATTTACTGTAATCTCTTCCGTTTCAGCCACTGTTGGACAGCAGTTGCAGCAGGCTAAGCAGAGACACAGAGAATTCCCTATCCATGCGCAATCTCTCGGGTGTATCCTGAGGTATTTCTTCATCTCCCGGTGGGACATGCCCAGAACACCTTTCATGTGGAGATCCAGGATATATCCCAAACATATGCCTCCTGGACACCATAGGTGAGGATGGGAAGGTAGATTGACTGATACATTGAGAACTCTGCCTTTCAACTCAGTACTTTCTTCCCCACAACAGTCCTGTACAGCAAATTTTAATTTCTCGGAGGCTCTAAATGCAAGAGAAAACAGAGTAACTCAAACATGCAGAAAACATGTAAGCAAATGAGAGCAAAGCAAATGAGAGAAAGCAAAGGGAAAATGCTAATTTCTCTCTTTTGTCCCTATAATCAATCAATAGATAATGAGAACCCTACCCTCTGATAAGTCTCTACACCTACCCACACTTCATTTAGATAATATTACACAACGGCTCTGAGCTGTAAAATCATTATGGAGATTACTAAT